CAAACACCATCCGCTGTATTAGACTACAGTAGGATGTGTTCACGCTGCTCACATGTATGATATTTTTGACAAGGAACATTTTTCAGAAACAGAAAGAATTTCGACTTGGATCCATGTCATGGAATGCCTAACAGATTGGATAAATCGAACGTGCGGCCACACGAAATGTGAAAAAAAAACCACTGCGAGGGAAGCTATAGTTCGGAAGGGTTGTCAACACAGAACTACGTACAAAAAAGAGAAATGCAGGGGTGGTTTTTTTTCAGTTCTGGCTAGTCCTTTTCCTAAATTCGATTAGATTATTTTTTATGTAAAAAGTTTCTCTTTTTTTCTGTCAGTCCCACCTCTGAAAATCAGAATGACATCAAGCGGAAAGAATCACAAGTTAAATAGAAATATTGAGTACGTGTCAGAGGGGTCTGGGTTAGTCAATGACGTCAGGCGGGTGGGCTATTGACGTCAGGATAAAAAACAGCAAAGACGCGTGAGTAGCACACAAGAGGTAAGCATACAGAATACTACCGAATGATACCACCCAATACAACAATTTCTTTATAATGTAAAAACTCTTTGGTTTTTTTGTTTTTGTTTTTGTTTTTGTTTTGTTTTGATTATTTCTCAGAAAAAGGTGAAACGGTGCTCAAGAGCAAAAGAACAAAAATGGCAGTAAGGAATGTTTTTCTCTTGACTGTAGGGGCTTGTCTCAAATGTTTTATTCAAAATTAAGCGCCCCCACCTCGTTCAAACACTTAAACCTTTACAAAATCAACCGTCTGACACGTATAGTGACAAAAATATCACAAAATAAAACCTCGTTAGCTAAGGTTGGCGTGGGGTACTCGCTATGGCTTATATTGACGAGTTAGCAAATCGCATCACAAGTAAAGAGGGGGAGAGTGGAGAGATAAAAAAAAGGCGGATGGAGGAAAAGGTTGCTAAACGACAAAAAAAAAAAAGAAAGAATTTTAGAACAACTTAGACTTACTGATCATTATGATTTTTCAAATGTGGGAAGATAAATAAATGACTCTGTTGTAGCCTAATCTATCACGTGAACGTTCATCGAAGTGTGTTTATCTGTCTTTATGTTACTGTTTGTTGGTTTACTGTGGTGGTATCCTAGAACACAGTAATCAAACAGAATGGAACACTGAACTAAAACCTCCTCAATTCCCCTCCTTCCGAATGTTTTCAACTTGCTCAATTTAGCAGGATTTGTGCTTACACATATTCAGATATTCGGTGATATTTGCTATCCCGATCAGTTCCAACGCACCTAAAGTACAACATTTTGGAGATACGTATAATTCTGTGTTGGATGTGGGTTTTCAGTGTAACTCTTTGGCCATACTTGCATAACTAACAGGTTTCCACCTGAATTTTAAAAAAGTCACGATGCACGCTTTCGGTGACTATGTGAAAAGAAAACGTACACCCCCCCCCCCCCCCAAATCAGTTGCTTGTACATTGAAAGAAAAGACGCGGGTTTTTAAACGGGTTTAAACTTGACAAACCTACATCCTTTATATTCAGATTCTTCGACAACTTTTCTAACCTACAATGAGTCACGTGCCAGTTTGGTCGTCATTCTGAACACCATTTGTTTTGCTTTCGTTTTGTTTTCGTTTTTTTCCCTATAGTGATTGCACCATCAGTCTTGTTGTATCACTAGCTAGGTACACGTTCGATTAACGGACTCAAAAGAATCGATTGTTAAGTCATTGTGGAAACAGTGCGCACTGCTTGTGAATGGAAGCCTCACTAGTTCACAATGGCGTCTTAGAAGACAGACTTTCCAAAGATTAGATCTAAATGAAACTAATAAAAAACTGAAAATTAAACTACTGTGACTTCGGACTCCTTAACCCTGTCCGTACGTCCTGGTGTCATTTTGTACTCCCGGGGTTGTATTCTCCACATTTTAGAATACTTCTAGATTCTAGTACGATGATTTCTGTGACAGTATTTTTAAAAAATCCTAATGACAGACTGCCATGTGTAAAGTGTACGGATCGGATTAACGAGTAAATTTCCTCTTTGGAAAGTGGTGGCACTGAGTTCCCCACGTAGCATTGATAGGGTTAATATAACTGTGTACCCTTTAAATGATTCTGAACCACCGTTAATATTTTCAAATTCGAAAGTTAAGTGGTTCGGAAATTTTAGGCGACCAAAGTGACGAACGTTTACACATATAATATATAGATAATCCGTCTTGACGGCCATTCACGAGTTGGTCTAGTAAACGGATTTGAAAGCAAATTTTTTACGCCACCATCAAACAATTTAGATCATTATTTTTTTACACGGTTGGAAAAAGAAAAAGTGCAGAGTTAACGCAGAAACTCCAAAACTCCTAGATCAACCCAAATTCAGTGACCTCTATTTGGAGAATCGAATTTAGATGGCTCGATTTGCAGCAAAGATAGTAAATAACAAGATGGGCCACTCAGCCAAAAAAGTGTCCACAGGAAGTATGCTCTTTGCTTCAGATGGCGCTGCAGTCTGTTTTGAAGCTCTCTTTCGTTTTTCCAGACGAAGAATAGGAATAGCACCTCCTTGCGTGCGCAGATCGACTGTTGTTCATCAGCAGTTCGGGTTCGTTCAGTACGGAGTTTCAGTTTTTTAAAATTTTAATGACCTCTCGCCTTTCATTCTTAAGTCAAATTAAACGAAGAAAACAATCACCCTTTCCTCCGGAAGAGGTTTTTTGTCAGCGTAACCATTTTAAAAAAGTGTTCTTCCGAAATTCATTCAAAAACTTGTTAGTTTCACTTTGATTTTTTAAACTCAAGTAGGATAACTCTGTTCGCAAAAGGTGCGATTTTGCAAAGAGGGCGCCACCGAATTTTGAAGACACTTTTTTAATTGGCTCAAAGAGAGAAGTGGCCCCTCTTGTTATGTAGACTCTTTGATTTGCAGTCCAGTACGATACTAAATAATCCGATAGTGCCACCCCCCCCCCCCCCCCTTTTTCCTCTAAACCCAGTGAGCCTACATCTTCTAAGCCCATAATATGGGTGACTCCCATGAAGTATGTATTGTAGCATGCTACCATAGTCCACTGACACATTGGTACATCGCAATGCTTTACTCCGATAGTCCTGCGCCCAAAGACACATAATTTTGTTTCTTTCTGTTGTCTTCACTCTTTAACCCTATCCGTACGTCGTGTTTTACTATCGTATCCATACGACGTGGGGAACTCTATGCCTCTACTTTCCAAAGAGGAAATTTACTCGTTAATCCGATCCGTACGCTTTGCATAGCAGTCTGTCAAAATAGTTTCTTGAGAAATACTGAAAGCTTCAAAGAGATATTCGTACTAGAAGTATTCTAAATAAATGTGAAGAATGCAACCCCGGGAGGTACAAAATAACCCCAGTGCGTACGGATTGGGCTAAGGATGTAACTGGCACGTAATTATTTCCAGTCAGCAGGTGACCAAAGGCATTGATGAGGTCCATTTTGAACCATCATATACACATGACAAACACGAATTCGCAGAATAATTCACGATATCCATGTTAAAATTTTAGATAAGAAGACAAATCTGAAAAAAAACATGTGTTTGGGTAACGAACGTATTATGCTCCTTTTCAAGAGTTCCTCGGAGCATGACGTTCTTACTGAATGACCAGAATGAGTGTCCTTGAGATAATAAATTCTGAAAGTCTGTTTTGAGAGCTTTCTTGTGCTATCGAGAGATATTTGAGCGCTCGGAACACATTCTTTCCATATCGGCTCTAATCGTACAAGATAAGCAAAATATTATGCAATGGCACTTTTCAATGTACTGGGTTGACAACAGGGCCTTTAGCATATTCGGTATGACTGTTGCGTAGAAAAAAGTACTATGTGTTTCAAAGAACAAATGTTGCCCTCTCCCCATCCTGCCTAACAACCCACATTTCCGGAACAACATCTTAAGTAAGTGACGAAGCAGCAGTCTTTTAAATTGATGCAATTAAGGAATCTCTAATACTGGGTGCGGGGAGGAAAGACCATCATCCAGACAACGAGAAAATACGATTTACTGACCTTGCTCCTTTTGACTTAATTTGGTCGTTCGTGATTTAAAAATAAACCCACACGTTTTTGAAAACGAACCCTTATTTGCGCACTTTAAGGTTTTAAAACAATGTACATTCACACACACACACACACACACACACACACACACACACATACACACACACTCACACACACACATACACACACATACACTCACATACTTTTTTTCAGAGGGAAACATTAAAAAAAATTCGGATTGACTAAATGTTAGGCCGTGAGATTTTTAGTGACGTCCTAATCTTAAATCAACGCTAACAACAGTAGCAATTTTAGGGCTTATAGTTAAGTATATGAATTTATAGAAACAGTGATTTACATTAAGCTCTATCGGGTCTTGGTTGCCCATCCCCAGTCTAGAGACAGTAGCTGATCGTAATCCAGTACCCATACATTTTTTGTGAAGCTATCTCAGCTTTTCTGATCTCGAAGGTGGGGTACGGGATCATACATAACGGAAGGGAAGCCCGGGAGAGAAAAAAAGGGGAGGGGGGAGGACCAGGAGGGTTCCAGGAAGAAGAACCTCTGCGTGTTGGCCAAGTTTTTCGAACCAAATACGCCACTTCGGACGTTCTTCCATTGTTTAAGAACTTTGGCAATATGGCGTAATTGCCTCCTAACAAGGTCCGAGAAGAAGCTGACTTTCCTCCCCTTCCCATCCGCAGCATCGCCGTTTCCTGTAATTGCCAAACATAACGAGGAGCCACATTCGTCGCTTCCATCCCAAAATGCCGCGCGGCGACACCTCCACGGCAAGCATCATGGCGCGACACCAGCCTCTCTCTCGTAACCATAATTCATTGCAAATTTTAATGCAATTTCATTGGACAAAATGGATGGGAACAATCTCCCTAGGAAGACCCGCAAGTTCTTAGCCGGAGGAATATTAAGTTCCGAGTCCTCGGAGAAGAATAAGAGTTTGGCAAATTACATTTAGTCTCGGAGATAAAGAGCTCGCTTCCAATTATGGAGGGTCAGTTCAGCGCCTTGCTCACTTCGGACGATATCGGATTTCTGGACAGCCCAGACGCTACCTCGGGCTTCTATTTCCCTCTGTGTGGAACTATGGAGGACACTGGCCTGACCAGGAGCAGGTTTGACCCCCCGGATTCGCTTTGCATGGCAGAAAGGTGGGTAACGGTGTATAGAGCTAAATCGTCTGGCGTCAACAATAATATATTATCTCATTGCTTTAGTAAGGGTTTTTCTTTCTATTTTATTTCTTTGTATGTTTGGATTATGAAATAAGTATAACTTTGTAATAGTCGCCATTCAGTCACAAGGATAAGCCACCGTAGCGAAAAAGTATTAAGGATTTCTAAATTTTAAAAGGGTTCCACACTTTAATTTCTATTTTGGCTGACACACAAGTTAGTGAATAAAGAAGCTCAAAGAATATAAAGCAATTGTCATTACAGCCCAAATTATTAGGGTGGTCATAGAAGTGTGTCCTTAAGGACACATTAGCTCAAGAAAAAAGTCAGGGTGTTGCAAAGCAATGCCGTGTTACTGTTCAAAGTTGCTTTTATAATAATTATAGTGTACATTGCTATGTGATATTATTGTATTAGCATGTCTCTTCTCTTCTTTTTTTTTCTTTTCATCCTTTTTCTACTTGCAAAAGAAAAGAGATTTTGTGTGGTGGGGTATGTGTAGTGCATTGTGTATGGTTTTGTTTTTGCTATTTTTCTTTACGGTACATAGAAAAGTGCCAGTCCATAGATTCTGTTCATCTTGTACGTCTAGAACCGATGTGGAAAGAATGTACTTGAATGCTCAAAAATCTTTCGAGCGCCTAAAAATACTGTTAAACAAACTTTTCAGTATTTTATTGACATCGGCATGAACTGTGTATCCTTGAACTATTGATGTCTTGTTTGGTTATTCACTTCTGACGCAAAGCAAATACCATGTGATAAAAACAAACATTCCAACAACTGTTGTAGTTATAAAAACAAATGAATGGCCCAGAGCTTCGGGATTTCTAGTCCATCTTTTGGTGTTTCTGAGCCCAAGGAACCTAATAAACATAACGATCTTTGTTTTGCAAAGTCTTAACTTCCCAAAACAACATTCATTTACCTTTCTGACTGAGCAAATTATGTATAGTTTTTTTTTCTTTTTATAAAATGTTTTTGTGGGTACATTCAAAGCCAGCAACTACCTGAATTATAACAACGCATTGTTCATACTTCAGATACTTGCATAAGATGTATTTCTTACAAACATTCCACATACAGCATAAAGAGGCATATGTTTTATTGAAACATTAAGACCTTAAGATTACTTATGTCTTGCCGTGACACGTCTTTTCTAGCGTTTTGGGGTTTTAGTATTTATGTTGTCACACTTCCGTTCACACTAAAGGCCTTGACTTTTTTGTTTAGGTAAAGAGAAGCGCATCAACACATTGATATTCATTTATAAAGGAAAGAGTAGGATAGATATAAACAATAGAGGGAATGAAAAGAAGTAGGACTTACCAGGCTGACCCCACCCCCCCCCTAACCACCCTCAGGCCACGTGTAACGCTGAAGAAGACTGTTAATAAGAAAAGAATATTATCAAATCATGACGTGCATGTATACGGTTCTATAACGACAAAACACAGGTTCATAATCCAAGGCATTTGGTTTAACAAATATCGTCACTTTGTTGCTGTTGTGAAATCAAGGTGATAAACAATAACGAGTATTGTTTTAAAAATGAGGTATGAGTTTGCATGGCTTTTCGTAGTTTTTTTTCCCAACAGATTCTTTAAAAAAAGGCTCTTCAAACCGGTGTCTGTGGTGTAATGACTAGAGATCTTAGCTACTGCAGGCAGAGGACGTAACTTCGATTCCCGACTGGAGAGTCTATTTTTTCGAGCACATTTATTATCTCTATGCTGCAGCTCATTCAGCCGGGGCTGGCCCTGACTAACAAGTTCGAATCGTCCAGTCCTCAAAATATGTGAATTCTGATCTGTGTAAATAGGGGGGGGGGGGGGGGATGTAAAACAGAACTTATAAAAAAACTCCAAAGACCTGGACTGGCAAGCAAAGAGGGATGCTGGAAACATAACTACAGACACCCCTTACCCCAAACTCCTCCCCTGGAAGACAACATCCTCAAATGTATTTACGAAAGCAGGATTGGGTGCTCCAATTACTTAGACATTTACACCACAATGTCATTGTCTCCAAACTGCAGGCAAAGGTCGGAAGAACCTTTACTTAACCCAAATAGCCCAGAACATGAAACTCAACAAAACTTCTCAAGTTCAGGTTGACGACGAGAACAAAGATTCAGAAGGCTGCACTGTGACAGCGAAAGTAGGCACGAAACAGATACAATGCAATTTTCTGAGATTCAAATCCGAGCGAGGTCCAACTTTTTTTCAACCGTCCCTACTCCCAGCCCAGTGTCTGCTCGCGGACTCTGTTGTCTAAACTGTGAACAGAAAGATTCTGTATGAAGTTAAAAAAACTGAGCTTTAGCTGTTACAAAAATGTTAACATCTTACTTGAAACGTTCTGTCAAAATCTCCAAGAACGTATCGGCATCTCTCTCCCCCTCTCTCCCTCCCCTCCCC